TATCAAGGCATCCTAAAGATGTAACCTTTTCTTTCCTCCTCCTTTTTCTGCTGTGCCCTCAGATAATTAAGATATGAGGACAACTAAACATGTATCCTGTTGAAGTACTTAGAGGTGGCAAAAAGTATAGCTTTCAACAAAACACAATTTCATGTTAAAATTCATCTTTCCTATTTGAAGTGGCAAACTTTTCAAGGAAGCCTCTGCAGGTTTCCTAATACTGCATAGCCAATTTAGAAAGTATATTTTAACCTATGACTGAAAGAATAGAAACTGTACTACCTCATTGGGACCTTATGTGACCATGATTTCAAGAAAGGGGACTTGCCAGGACCTTGACCTTTGATATGGTAATATGACAGGAAATCAGGAAGACCCTGGAACCTGAAGGTCTCACTGAGTACAGTAGGCCACTTTCATGCACATGTCTATGCGGCTACATTTTCAAACCAAGTCTGCCTAGTGAATCCTTCACACTGCCTTCATGTTTGCTTGTCTTTGCAAAGCCTTCTGAGAGGCTTCCTTGACTGGTTTCCAGTCCACAGAATCCTGACTTGCTGGTTAGCAGGCCTTCCTCATTTACTCCACCTCCACCAGCACTTCCGCTTCACCTTCATCCTCACAGCATCATCCCATTCCCAAAGGCGACAGATGGCCATCATAGAAACTTGTGCAACCACTGTCTTGGCCCACTAGAAAGTTCTAGTGATCTTTAATTTCTATTTTCTTCAGTCTTGATGTTCATTTATGGTCTTAAGTTAATCTTTCCGCCCTCTCCCCCAAAAAGGCAGGTGAGAAAGAACCAACATTCCAATTTGATGATGAACACAATGATTTCTGAAATACATTCAATCAGAGAATGAAGGACACAGGCTGGGTCTCCTCTGTGTCACTAGGGTGAGGATCAGCCTCTGAGTAAAGAGGTGGAGGCTGAAACCGGAATTCTTGTATGCAGGTGAACATAGGGTAGCACGCTTCTCCCTCACTATTGGGGGCCTGAGGGTAGGGAGAAATGTGTCTAGAGAATTCTTCCTCGGATGCCATATCTGCGTAATTTGGTGGTGTTTCAGGCTGTTCTGGCAGGGTCAGTGTCAGCCCCCTCATATCCATGCTGAACTGGGTGGCAATGCTGGAGTTTCTGCTGCCAAACTCGTTATACGGAATTGCACCAACGACCAGTGGCAGCTCAAGCATCAGCTTTTTAGCACCAGGAATGTGAATGTATACAGCTAAGGAATAGTCCACTCTGATAATGCAACAATCCAGGATGGAGGGAGTTTTCCCATTCCCGTATGTCAGTGCTCCCAGAGCGGTGTGGTTTCCTCGCACTTTAGCAACCATGTGACTGAGGGTCTTTGTTTTTCCCCTAGCCACATACGTCTGGGTTTGGAAAATAGCTGCTTTGGGAATGATCAGCCGAGATGAACAGTTTTCTATTTCTGCATGAATAGGAATAGCTTTTCCATTACAGTATCCCTTTCTTTCAATTTTGGCGCTCAGCGAGACTGGACCGGAAGTGAAAAACTAACAGCCAACCATTTTTTCTTGAGTTTTCAATACAGGGGTCAATAATGCTGGGGTGTTGATATCAACATGACTAATAACCTGGAGTTCCCGTTTCACACTCTGATCAAGTACCCTGGGTCGTTCTAAAACCGCCCTCACGCAGAATTGAATACTTCCATATTTCCCTGTAAATGAGGTCACCAAAGGTTCAGAAGGAAGTTGAAAGAGAAATGCAAATTCAAGTTTTCCAGGCTGTAATAAAACGATGCCTTCACCGGCCGGGGCTCACGCAGGCTCAGGCTCATGTTCAGGTGCTCCACCTGCGAGGGGGCGTCGGTGGCCCGGCTTGGGCCTCCAGGCCCAGGGCCCACGGGCTGGCAGGCTCCAGCATCATGTGCCCCGCCACCGTCTAGCTGCTAGAGTAGCAGCCCTTGCGCTCCCCCTCGAACACCAGCCTAGGTTCTTCACGCGGCCCTCGCAACCCATAGCCACCCTGGACCCGCCTCGTCGCCCATCCCAAGAGGCTTCGCGGCTTCACCACCGAGGTCTGCAGAGACCCGGAGCCGGGGTCGCGAGTACAGCGGCGCCCCTGTTACAGGCGCGGGCCACAGCGGCAGCTGTGCGGTGCCCCCAAGGAGCCAAAAATGATTTTTTTACTTAGCTCTTCTACAAAATTGAAGTTTGTTAGGTGGCATTCCTTTTGCATTTGAAAGAAGGACTTTTGATTTGGGAAAGAGTATTCGATTTTGTAGTGCTTTTTGATGGTTTTTTTTATGCATACAGGTGTATGTATGTATAAATACTTTTCACTATTCCTGACTTAACTGGGGTTTGTTTTGCTAATATTTTGTTTGACTTTTGCTTTCATGTTCATAAGAGATTTTCTATACTTCTTGTAGTATCTTTTTCTTATTTTGGTATGAAAATAATGCTGGCCTCATAAAATGAGTTGGAAGGTATTCTCTCTTTTGTTTTTCTGGAAGAGATTGTTTAGGATTAGTTTTATTTTCTTCCGTAAATGTTTGATCTGATTATTCTGTGAAACCATCTTCACCTAGAGCAGTGGTGGTGAACCTATGGCATGTAGGCTGTTTGTATCACTGAAAGCTCTGAAAGGTTTGCCATCACTGACCAACAGTTTTTTTGAGGGTTAAAACTACAGATTCAGTTTCTCTAATTCAAAGAACTGTTCAGTTTATCTGTTTCAACTGGATATGTGTGGGTGTTTGATGTGAAAAGTCATTCTGTTTTATCTAAGTTGTTGATTTTATGGGTGTAGAGTTGTTGATATTGTCCCTGGTTATCATTTGAATGTCTGTGGCAACTATTGTGATAATTCCTTTTTATTTCTAATATAAATAATTTATATTTTCTCTTTGTCAAATCTTCTAGAAGCTTATTAATTTTACTGATCTTTTCAAGGAAGCAGCTTTTGGTTTCTGTTTTGTTTGATGTTTTCAATTTATTTGATTTCTGCTCTTTATTATTTCTATCCTTTTGCATGATTTGGGTTTATTTTGCTCTTGCTTTTTGTGTGTGTGTTCTAATTTTTATTGTTTTAGTGTTGAGGATTGGACCCAGGGCCTTGCACATGCTAGGCAACCGGTCTATTACTATCACCAACTCTTCTAGCTTCTTCAAGTGCAACCCGCTATTACTGATTTGAAATTAGTACTTAGTACTGTGTATTTCCTGCTAAGTGCTCTTTTAGTTTTATCACAGAGATTTTGTTATATTTTCATCTTTATTTAGTATATTTTACAACTTCCCTTCAGAAAGTTAACTTTTAAGTATTTAGAGAATTTCCTTTGTCTTTTTGTTACTGTTTTCTAATTTTAATTCCATTGTGATCAGAGGATATACTTCATCTGATTTTAAATAGTACCTTATGATCCAGAATATGCGGTTCCTTGGTGACCTTTCCATTTTGCTTGGAAAAATATGGCTGTTATTGTGTGGAATGTTCTCTTGATTTCAGCTAGACCCCCATTGGCTAATAGGATGTTCAGGTTTTCCCTGTTCCAAATTATTTTCTATCTAGTAATTCTGTCAATGATTGAAAGGATGTTGAAGTCCCTGACTCATTTTGGCTTGTCTTTTCTCTTTAATTCTGTCAGTTTTGGCCTCATGCATTTTGAGATACTCTGATTAGATGTCTATACTTTTAGGATTATTATGTGTTCTAGGTAGCACCACTAAAGTCCTAATACCAAAACCAATAAAGACATTACAAGAAGAGGATTACTATAAATCCATATCCCTCATGAATATACACATAAACACTTTTAACCAAATCATAGTAAATATAGTTAATTCAGCAGTGTGGTGGTACCTTGGTTCACGAACTTAATTTGTTCTGTGATTCTGATCTTGAACCAAAGTGGTTGTGAACTGAATAAAATTTCCTCACAAAATTTAATGTCATTTGATACAGAGTTTACAAACTGAAGCAAAATTTTGCCAAACACTTCTATTCATGAACTGAATTATTTGCAATTCCTTTCAGTTGGTGGGAGATTCCTGGTTGTCTTTGTGTAAGGATCATGGTATAATAGTTTAAGAGTGGAAAAGGGAGGATTTGGGGGCAAGGAGTTCTGATTCTTTAGGTGTAAATCATCATTTGATAACTTTGTTTTGAAGAAATTCATTCAGGAATTTCCTGTAATGAACAATTTTTTATTTTTGTTTTTGCTTTTTTGCAGCTTTTTTCTGGGCAAGAGTCTCTGGAAATAGTAAACTTATGCTGTTGAAGACATTGTGATAGTAAAGCCATGTTAATGTAGGCAGTAAGCTGTGTGGATGATTTTTATTCTCAGAGGACAGACATAATAGCATTCATAGAGTTGAGGGGAACCTGTCCGCTCCTTGTTACTTACGCTTTTACTGCAGTACTAGATTTACTTTGCTGTATTTAAGATTTATTGCAGTTATTTGGATTAGCAAGTGTGGCCTGTTTTCTTGTCTTATATTTTTAGTGTCCAGCTTTGTTATCAGTTAGGGTAGCTTTTAAAAAATGATATCTTTTTTTAGTATGATTTGCCAGCTTTTTGATTTTTAAGGATTATTTTAATTTTATGCCGCTATGCTTTTCTAGTTTTGTTGTACATTTATTATTTTTCAAAATCGTTATTTTTTGCCCTTTCTGTGAATTTGAGCCAGATGGACAATTTGTACTGTGACTTGGCTTGCATAACTCCCCTTTTCTTTAAACTTTTTCTAATTTTTTTTCCCTATGGCTGTTAAGTAGGTAAGTATCTTACATCCTGAGCAGACCAAATTTAAGGAGAATTATACTTTTTAGTTTATTTTCCTGTTATCAATGTGCCGTCCTTAGTAAAATATATTAAACTATGTACATTATCTCATCTTCTGATGGAAAAATGAACAATATTGGGTCTTTTTTGGTATGTATATTCTTTAATTATATGTAAATATTATATAAAATAAACCTTTTGAAGGGCATCATTTTAATGTTACCCCCCCCCCCCATATAGGAAGTTCACAAATGGGTGCTACCATAGTGGATGCTTTGGATACCCTTTATATCATGGGACTTCATGATGAATTCCTAGATGGGCAAAGATGGATTGAAGACAACCTTGATTTCAGTGTGGTGAGTATAAAATTGATAATCTCTTAGATTCACAATGGAAAGAAATTTTCTTACTTCTAAATTCATATGTTGATGTCTAATAGTAATGTGATGGTCTTAGAAGGTAGAGCCCTCATGAATGAAATTAATGCCCTTATAAAACAGCCTCCACTGTGAGGAAACAGTGAAAAGGTACCATCTGTGGACTAGAAAGTGGACACTCAAAAGACAGTCTCCTAGCACCTTGATCTTGGGCCTCCTATCCTCCAGAACTGTGAGAAATACATTTCTGTTGTCAGCCACCCAGTTTATGGTATGTCGTGATAGCATTCTTCTTCTTCCTTTTTAGTACTGGGGATAGAACTCGGGACCTTGCGCTTGCGAGGCAGCAAGGGGAACCACTGAGCTAAATCCCCGGCCATGATAGCATTATTAGTGGCCTAAGATAGTAACATAGTTTTAAGCATGATACTAGCATTTTAAAGAAATCTTAATACTAAGTCCTCTTTCTTCTGTTATTTGTCACTTTGTTTGCACTAAACATACACCTTTCTTACCATCTTCCTTTTTTTTTGTCCTTGTCATTGGAAGCATTGTATTAAATGTGTGAGAGCAGTAATTTGTGGTGGTGGTGGGGAAAAATAAGTTAGCTATATCAGGAAACTATAAACTCCTTCATAAATAATAAGTTGAATTTTTAAAGATTTAATGATATAATACAGCTTTAATGAGCAGTCATATTTCGGCCAGTGCCCATCCTTCTAGCACTTTGACATTGTGGTACCGCTTAAGTTTGAAGCACGGCACAGCTACGTTCTAGTTGTTTGGCTTTGGGAAGGTTCCTTATTTTTTATAAATCTATCATGAAATTGTTATCCCATTGTAATATTGTAAGAATTGTTTGAGATAATCTGTACATGATAGCAGTCATTTTCAAGATTACTGGTCTTCACCTAAAAGGCGTATGGACTGTTTTGTCATAGTCATTCTCATCTTCCATGGTTTTGTGCTTCCTGTGTGCCTTTTGACTATAGTACCCTCCACTCCTCTATGTGCTTTTCTCTCTGGCACTCTTCATTATTTAAATTCTGATTTAAATCCATATTTACTTCCTTTCCTACGGTTTTCCTGGTGCTAACTAGACAAAACTGTTTTTCTCCTTTTGTATTACTCTAGCATTTTTTGCTAGACATATTTATTGATGTGTCTTAATTAGAAAAATTTTTATCATGTTTAGGTTTGGCAGTGAGTGACAGAAAACCTATAACTGAAATAAGATAGATGTTTATCTGTCATGCAGGTCAAGTACAGAGATAAGCAGTGCTTTGAGTAGCTCCTTGATCATCAAGGGCTTAGAATCCCTTGACTTACTTGCTCTTGTCAACTTCAGTTTTTGTAAAGCTGTGACCTCTTTGGTAAAAAAGTGGTTTTTCAAGATGTAGGCCTCTTACGTAGCTTTCAGTTGGCAGAAAGGAGGAGCAGATATGTGGCTGTTCTTTAGGAACACTTCTCAGGAGTTGGTCACCTTAATTTTGCTTGTATGCCATTGGATAGATCTTCATATGGCCCCCCCCCATTGTACAAAGAAGGTGAAGAATGTAGTCGTGTGTGTGTGTGTGTGTGTAGTTATGTAGATCTTAAAGATTGTGCTGTTTTAAAACCTGGTATATGAAATTTCTGCTCTAAGGCCATAATATATTCTTTTATTTGAGGATATTATATTCTTATACTTTATTTGGTAAAACATTTTAAAGTTTTGCTTTCACACTAGTCTTTAATCCATATGGAATCGACTTTTTTGTATGTAGGGTGAGAATAACTATCAGTTGACCCTAACACCATTTATTTCTCTATTTATGTATACCATACTAGTCATATATTTGTTATATGAATTTGTTCTTTTCCACCGACTTTTATCTTTATCCTTGCATCAGTACTAAACTGTCTTATGTGTAGTACTTATTTATTTATTTTTGTTTTTTTGAGCTAAAAATCTCACATTGTAGTCCAGACTGACAATGAACTTCCTATGTACAAGAAGCTTGATATCTCTCTCTGAATCTTGATAGCTGAGATTAGTTTATGAGGAAATTATTTTAGTTTTCAGCCCTTTGTTGTTTCAAATTCTGGAAAACTATTGAAATTTTCATGAGGATTGCTTTTAATTTGTGTATTAATTTGGAAAGAATTGGCATTTATGTAATATCAGATACTACCAAATACAATTTAACTAGAGAATTTAATGTTTCCTCTACTAGTTTGCTATTTACTAATTTCCATTAAAGTTTTATGTAACTGTTTATCAAAGTTTAAAATTACGGTAGTCCATTTTTTTATCCTTCTGAAGAACATAAGGATCTTGGAATGCTTTAACTTTGCTCATATCTCTTGTCTTATGTGTACTGTGATTTAGTTGGTTCCAAATATTATTTAATATTTCAAATTAAGTAATGAATAGCTAAATATATTTATTGAGTACCTCCTCTGCAACAGAAACTGTTCTGGTTCTATGGCTGTAGTAATGAACAGTAGAGAGTCGTATCTCTTGAGTTTATATTCCAGTATTGGGAGAAAAGCACTGAATAATTATTCTTGTATGGTACGTCAGATGGTGGTAAGTGCTGTGGAGAATAATGAAGAAAAATGGCATTGAAATAAGTGATGGTGAGGCATTGCTATTTTACATGGGGTGGCTTTTGAACAACTCTGTTAAGGTGACATTTCTGAGAAGAGACTCAGGGAAGTTGTGTGTGTGGATATAAGGCTCTCCATTAATAGATACTATAGCTGAGGATAGAACTAGGGGTTATTTTCTTAACCTTTTAAAGTCGTGCTTACTTGTCTTTCTGCTTCTATGCTTTTGTAAAGTATAGTACTAGTCTCATTTTTAAGAGGCAGTCTGTCTTTTATTGTTTGTGTGTTTTCTTTTTTTATAGTGTTCTAATATTCTATTACCATGTGTCTATGTGTAGATTATTCTTTAAAAGATTCATAATATTTCATCACACCGAGGATTTTTGTTTTCATCAACTTCAGAAGATCTTCAGTCGTTACTCCTTATAGTAATTCCTTTTCCCCATTTCTCCCTTCTTTTTCCTTCTTTCTCTCTAGTGAGGGATGATAGTAATTTTATAAATAATTGTATAGTAATTTGGTGATTATGAATGGTAACTGGGGAAATTATAAAAGGTAAAGGATATCAGTGATGGGTGATTACTTACATTGGGTGGTCAGAAAAAGTTTTCATTGAGGTTGTATTTCTTCAGAGAACTGTAGAAAATGATAGTGATTTATTTAGCTAGATGAAGGACAGTCACCCAGAGAAGAGGGTAACAAGTATAAAAATTGATGTGTAAGTCTCAAGGTTGCAGTTCTGGGTAAAGCAAATAGGTCCATATAGTGAGATGAATCAAAAGGATTCTAGCAGGAGAGGTGTCACAAAGACTGTGGGGGACCTGAGCATATGGTGTCTTACTGGTCATTTTACTCTTGAGTGTAACCAGAGGCCATTGTGAAAATTTTCATAGAGTAGTAGTGAGCTAAACTGATGTAACTGAAATGCTCATTTTAACCATGGGGCATTGAAGGGCATGTAGGGAGGGAATGGGTGAAAACAAGGGAACTATATTGAAAGTTATTGCTACACTTCTGAAGAGTGCTGGAGACCCTCCCTATTTTTAGCGAAGGTCTACTATGTGCCCTGCAGTAGCTATAGGTTGGGAATACTGTATATTAAGCATTTTGCTTTTGGAGTAGGATGGGGTGAACACCATGTTATCAAAACATTGTATTGTGGGCCAGGGCTTTAGCTCAGTGGTTTCGCCTCCTGCTGTGCAAGCGCAAGGACCCGAGTTCGATCCCTGGTACCAAAACAAACAAACAAAAAAACACATTGTATTGTGAAAGTATATTGGAAATATACTTGTGCTAGTTAATGATGTTTTCTGCCTATGTATATTAGAAAGACCTCAGAGTAATTTATTCTTTCCTTTTTAGTTAAAAATGAATTGTGAATGTTATTTTTATGTTAGTTGCTTGTGTATATTTTGTGGATTCTTTGGTCATAGTCTGCCACTTCTTTTCTTTTCCGTATTATTTAGAATTTTTCCATCTATATATTCATACCTAAATAGAAACATATAGACTCTACTGTATATAGTTACATATATAGATTTTTAATATTGCTATATTTTTTCCAGTTCCCTTCAGTTTGTTTTCCTTTTATTTTGTTAATAATTTTTACTCTTAGAGATAACTTGCAGTTCAGGGACATTTCAAATCTGTCATTAGTTTGTTACCAAAACTACAGTGCTTAGTTTATGCTTACACAGTACCTGTTTTCTTAAGGAAGTTTCTATATTGTCACATTTTCTTCTATTTCTTTATTGTTTTCACATTTCTGAATCATTTGTTTTTCATTTTGATATATATGTGATGTATCTACACTAATTTCTTACCTAGTGTTATCAACATACTTATGCAGTTATGTATAATTCCACCCTGTTTTGGTCCCTCCTTTAACATTTATATGTGTGTGTATATATATGTTTATATACATATATATGGAAAAATATATATTAGGAAAATATTTAAAATTCATGAGAGGAGAGAAAAATCATGCTGTAGTGGTTAGTAGGAAAGGGATCAGTAGGTAGAGTACTGTTCCAGAATTCCAGATCCAGTGTTCAAGAAGTATAGGCCTTCTTGAAGATGGAACAGTAGCCACAACAGTATTTGATGTATTAATTTCACAATACCGTGTAAGGTATGTACAGATGGCCCATTGATTTTTGCAGTAGGAAACTGTAGTAATAGAGGAGTTTGAATAACATTAGCAAATGGGAGGTGAGATTGCAATGACATGAGAAGTAAAAATGCAGAAGCTGAAAATATTCTTACGGAGTGAGAGAAATGATGTAATGGAAATATTTCAAAAAAACTGTAAAACATGTATTTGTGAATATTTTTGATATGTTTTCACAGAATTCAGAGGTGTCTGTGTTTGAAGTTAACATTCGATTTATCGGAGGCCTACTTGCAGCATATTACCTTTCAGGAGAAGAGGTGAGAAAAACTGAGTCATACATTGTTTGCTTTGAGGGGAGGAATTATGAATGGAAGTTTCATAAAATTAAAGATTTCCCTAGCAACATATTGCTTTTTCTAACTTGAATATTACTGAACTAATCTAAAGGTTTGCAAATAGAATTGGATGCTTTAGGTGGAACTGTTTCTTCAGAATAATAATGATTCTGTTTTTGAGAATCTCAGTAAAACATAACAGACCCGGCTTTATATACATCATAACCTTTTGCAAGAGTGATCCTTCTCCAGGAGTTTGCAATTGCAGTTAATTGCATGATTCAAACAAAGAGGGGGAAGAAATTTATTAGACCAAATTAAAGACTGACTCAGGAAGAACACAGATCCTCCTAAGACCAGATGTTAATTACTAAAACCTCGCGTTTGGAAGTTGAATGCGATTTACTGCTCTAAATAATAATTTAAAACAGTACAACTCTGACTTTTCCTTTCTGGTAGTCTTGGCACAATACACATGGACACACACTTGAGACCTATGGTGATGGGAAAATGAAAATGGATGAGGGGACTTTTATTATGCAGATGGTTTAAAGCGGGTGAGGTTGAAGAGCTAAAGAAGCTCTTGAGAAGCTGCTTTACTGATATTATTAAATTGGTTTGTTGGTCTAAATGATTTATAAGAATCCTTTTTAAGTTTACAAAAACTCATGTTTCTTATGTATATTATAAAGATATATTTCTCTTTGTTTTGTTTTTAGTTTTGGGGAGGTTTCATCTCTTAGTTAACTTTAAACTAGTCATTTAGGAATTTGCTCATTGGTGTGGCTTCTAGATTTTGGTCCTTAGAAACCCTTTTCTGTCTGTTATAAAATAAAATCCCAATTTTTCTCCTGGGTTTTTATGACTTTATGCTTATATCTAAGTATTTTATATTTTGTGTTATTGTGTGTAAAGAGTGAACTATCCATGTACTGTTTTTTTAAGAATATGTTTGATGATGCTGGTATTTAATATGGTGTTATATAAATAATGTTTATCATACTTAATGTGTCATCTCACTGTCAAATTTTATTACATAAATTTGGTTGCACTTCTTCCTTATGTTTCTGTAGACAGAACAGTTCACATTTAATGAAATAGAAAAAATGATTTATGCTCTGCCCAAGGGATTTTCAAATTTCAGGGTATTAGTGTCAGGTTTTTTTTGTTTTTTTGTTTTTTAATAAGTATAGATCCCAAGTCCAAGTCCTGCCCACAAGACTGATTCAATTTAGTGTGGAGGCCCCACCTCTATATGTTTTTTAAATTTTTTTTTTTTTTTTTGGAGGCAGGTACATACTTCTTTTTCAAGATGCTTTTGGTCATGGTTCGATCTTTTGAAAAACTCTGATTTAGCTCATATGAGTAAAATTATTGTAAATTAATTCTTAGAGATTGTAAAAGTCGGGTGTCTTAAGGTGTTATTTACATTGAGTAAAATTCATATATTATAGTATATAGTCTCTTTTAGCAGTGTGTGGAATCTTGTGACCAGTAGCATAAACACAATAGAGAATTTTAACCTGGAAAATTCTCCTTTACATTTTATAGTCAGCCCACACTCTATAGCCAGTCCCTGGTAACCAGTGATCTATTTTGTCAGTAATTAGGAATACCGGCAGCTTTTACTTAGCATAGTACATTTGAAATTTATCCCTCTAGAAGAAATGCATTCCTTCTTGCTGCTGTACGGTAAACCATTCTATGGCTATAACAAATCTGTTACAACAAATCTATTACAAGTATTTGACTATAGATTTTTGTAGGAAAATATTCACTTCTTTTGAGTAAATACATAGAGCAGTATTGCGGGGACAAAGATTAGTTTACATTTAACTTTATAGAAATGTCAGACTCTACAGTAGTCTAAGTTTCTGTACTGTTTTAGCAGTTATAATAGATATATTGCAGTATCTCTGTGGTTTTATTTTGCATTCCCTAATGACAAATGATGTTGAGCATCTTTTTGTATGCTTATGTGTATCTTCTTTGGTAAATTGTAAAAATCTTTTACCCGTTAAAACATGTACTAATAAAAATTTTTTCCTTCTTATTGAATTTTAGATTGTTGTATATTCTATACAAAAGTCTTTTGTAACCTATCTAAATATTTTCTCTCTGTGGCTTGTCTTTTCAGTGATATAGCAGTATCTTTTGAAAATTGGAAGTTGTTACATCTTTTTTAAAATTTTGATATAATAATGATCACATTCATCATAGGCAATTTGTACCTGTACAATATGTATCTTCATTCTTCTTATTTCGCCCATTCTCCTCCCCTCCCTTCAACCTTTCTTCCCTTGCTTATTTACAAAAGCAAGGGAAGAAAGTTTGTTTCTATTTTTTCTTCTATTCTTTTTTCCTTTTCTCTTCCCTTCCTCCTTCCCCCTCCCTTGTTTCCCTTCCCATTTCAACATTTTCTTCCTACTTGCCAGTATCCATCATCTGTTTTGGTCCTTATTTACTCTTTGAATTTCTCACACAAGAGTAACCATGCGACCTTTAAACAAGTGTGTCAATTTATTTCACTTAAAAGTATGATCTCAAGGTGCATCCATTTATCTAAAAATGTCTCAAGCTTATCCTTTATGGCAGTGTAGTACTCCATTGTATATAAAAACCAATTTTCTTTATCCCATCATCTGCTGATGGGAATCTGTGCTGTTTCCAAGATTTCGCTATTACACATTGTGCTGTGATTATAAACATGGGTGTGTATATATTGCTATGGTGTGATGTTTTGAACTCTGTTGGGAAGATACCAAGAAAGAGGAATTGCTGGGTCAAAGGGAACTTACAGTTTTAGTTTTCTGAAGTGTCCCCATACTAACTTCCATAGTAGTCGTACTAATTTACAGTTCCACCAAGAGTGGAGAAGGGTTCCCTTTTCCCTACAGCCTTGCCAGCATTTGTTATTGGTTAATTTCTTGACAATAGCCATTCTTTCTGGAGTGACGTGGAATCTCAGTGTTGTTTTAATTTGCATTTCTTGAATAAACAGTTATGTTGAATATTTTTTCATTATGTATTTACTGTTTATACTTCTTCATCTCAGAAATGTCTGTACATTTCAGACGGCCATTTTTGGATTGGATCTTTAAACTTGGGGGGGGTCTGGTTTTGTTGAGTTCTTTATATATTGTAGATACTAGTCTTTGAGGAGCTGGTAAAATTTTTTTCCCACTCTGTGAGTTGTCTCTTCACTCTGTTGGTGCTTTCTTTTGCTGTGCAACAGCTTTTTAAAATGATGAGATCCCAATTGTTGGTTTTTTGTATTATTTCCCCAGCAATTGGGGTTTTGTTCATAAAGTCTTTGCCTACAACTATATCTTCAAGAGTTTTATCTATTCTATCTTCCAGCAGATTAAAATGTTTCTGTTTAAATATTTAGATCTCTGTTCTATTTCAAATTTAGATTAGTGTATGGTAAGAGATAGGTATGTAGGTTTAATGTTCAGCACATGGAAAGCCAGTGTTTCCAGGACCATTTATTAAAGAGACTTTCTTGCAGTGAAGGTGTTTGGCCCCTTTGTCAAAGATAAAGTGGCTAAGTGTGTTTTGAGTTGATTTTGCATTTTCTGTTCCTTTCCATTGATCTTCAAGTCTGTTTTCTTTGTCAGTACTATGCTGTTTTTATCATGGTAGCTTTGTAGTATAGTTTATGCCGGGGATTGTGATGCTTCCTGCCTTGCCTTTATTGCCCAGAATTGCTTTTGCTATTCTAGGTCTCTTCTGTTTCCAAATGAATTTTATGATTGTCTTTTCTAGTTCTGTGAAGTATGCCATTGGTATTTTGATCATCTTAGTCAAAATTAATTATTAAATTAATGCATTAAGTCTGTATAGCAGTTTTGTAAGTATGACCATTTTCACTGTATTGGTTCTGCTTATCCAAGAACAAGGGATATCTTTCCATTTTCTGATACCGTCTTTGATCTGCTTTTTCAGAGTACTGGAGTTTTCAATGTAGAGGTCTTTTACACCCTTTGTTAGATTGATTTCTAGGTATTTCAGTTTTTGGATCCTATTGTAAAAGGTGTTATTTCCCTAATTTCTCTCTCAGTGAGTTTGTTAATTTGTGTACAGGAATACTATTAGTCTTTGAGTGTTGACTTAGTATCCTGCTGCTGTATTTGGTTATTAAATCCAGGAGTCTTTTGATAAAGTTTTGGAGTCTTCTTTGTAGAGTATTATGTCATCTGCCAGTAATGATAATTTATCTTCTTTCTTTCCTATCCTTATTCCTTTTATTTATTTCTCTTGTCTAATTCTTCTAATGTTTCCAGAACTGTATTAAACAGGAGTGGTGATAAAAAGCATCCTTGTTCCTGATTTTAGAGTGAAATCTTTCAGTTTTGACCATTTAGTATGATGTTGACTGTTGATTTGTCATAGATGGCTTTAATCAGATTGAGATAAAGACCTTCTGTTCCCATTTTCTGTAGGGTTTTTAATCATGAACGAGTGTTGGACTTGTAAAATGCTATTTACATGATCAGGTGGTTTTTGTTCTTGGTTCTGTTAATGTGGTATATTACATTTATTGATTTGCACCTGGGATGAATCCTACTTGGTCATGGTGTATAATCTTCTTGGTAATTTGCTGCATTCTGTTTGTTAGTATCTTATTGAGGATTTTTGCATCTGTGTTCATTAAGGAGATTGACCTGTTTTATTTTTTTGGTTAGAGCCTTTTCTGGTTTTGGTATCAGGGTAATGCTTACTTCCAGGTATGAGTTTTTGAGTGTTGCTTCCCTTTCAATTTCATTAAAAAATTTGAGGAGTAGCAGCATTTGATCCTCTCTGAATTTCGTGTAGAATTCAGCAGTGAATCTGTGCTTTTCTTTGTTGGCAGTATTTTTTATTACTTCTTAACTTTCACTGGCTATAATTTGCTTATTTAGAATTTTTATATCTTCTTGATTCAGCTTTGGTAATTCGTATGTGTCCATGAATCTGCCCTTTTCTTCTGCATTTTCCAT